TTTTATCAAGTTGTAAAATTCAACCTTTAGGAGCAACAGATTTGGGTCCAGCATATATCAAATATAGAAATTCAAAATTCAATAAGCATGTGATCTCATGCTGTGTACACCGTACAGTCGCACATGCTGCCAGGCAATTGTCAGTCTACAGAGATGTCTCATCAGTTGTCAGTTACCACAGGAATCTGACAAGGTATGCCAACGTGGACCTCAGCTCAGACAGCATCTTTACTTCTGTTGCTTTCACACTGTTACACACAGGACGGGTACTGGGTAACACAAGCCAGTTCTGGCTTACTTATAAACAGGTTACAAATTCCACATTTTCATCAGCTACCCTAAAACAGGAAAGTGATATTCTACAAAAGATTCTTATAATATTATAGTATGAAGGAGAAAGCATTTGACAAATAATTTTATGAGTACCTTGGGGTGGAGATGACAACTTTAAATTCTAAGCCTAAGAGAGCTTATGCCAAATTAGATTTCTCTAGTCAGAGAATACAGGAATATAGTATATAAGATTAAAAACCAGTAAATCACATAAGAACTCAAACATTAATGGTGAGGGACCATTCTTGAGATATTGGATACAATGTGGCCCGCTAATGTCTTTAAGTGCTGCCTCACACTGATCTAGCTGGTGGGCTTTTACTTTTCTTGGATGGATTTTAACTAAATAGACTTTAGACGTTTGGATATAGATAAATGCTGAATTCAGTAATTAGTATTTTAAAACTGTGAAACCTTTTAAGTTAAGTGGTCTATTAATTAACTACCAATTACCTTGTCTGACTACCATATCAATAGAAGTAAATTACTCACTAGCTATCTGACAGATTTAGTCCTTTACCATGGAAGATTTCTTCTGCACATAAAAGGCCTGAGGGTGAATGCTTTTGCTTTCCTCTTTTGGGTAATCAGGGATCAGTATGCCATTTTAAAAAAGGCCAAGCACAGCTCCTTGGTTTAAAAGGACCTACAGATAAACTCTGGCTCAGAAATAAACTAAGATTCTATGGCCTCTCCAGAAAAATAAATAGTAAGTGAAGCTAAGTTAATTATTTTGAGGAAATATGAGACTGCAGTCACTGTATGGAGGCCAGGCTTGTCTGTCACTTGGTGGGATCACAGAGAGGTGTGTTTTCCAGTTGGACAGCATTTGTGTGAATGACTTAGATGTTGATGTACACTTGTTCTCAGTGCTCTTGTTCCACAGCAGACCAGGCTGGCTAAATGACCATGTCATTCATCCCCTGACTGGCGACTAAGAGAAGGTTCCTGGAAGATCTGCTAGTGACAGAACAACTGTGAAGGTTAGTGTCATAGCTGACTGGAGGGCTGTGCCAAATGTGAGAGCTAATGGAAAAGCCTCTGCAGTCTGTAGGAGTGTATGTGGCTCATAAGGCAGGAAGCAATACAGGCTCTTCCTGAGGCCTGAGTCACAGGGAAAATGAATGATGGCTGCCATGCATTCAATTTGTGTTTGATTCACACGGATCACAACAGCTGTCTTCTCAAAAGCCTTACACCCAGAGGTAGGCTTAGTATGCCAAGGAAAAAAAAGAGTTCACAGGTGGGGCAAGGGAAAGTGTGGGAAAGAAACAAAAGGAGACCCAAACAATGAATGGAAGGCAACCCTGATTTGAAGTCAACAGCATGAGTTAGTCCAGCATGTTTCCCCTTTCAGAATCCACAGCATGGACCCGTGTAAGCTCTCTCAATAGGTCACCTTCTAAATATTTAAGCAGAAGCCTGTTGCATATGATCAAATATTCATTAACTAAGTTAGAGTACAGTTCCAGGGGTGGGGGTATAACAAACTGCCACCAGACAATCTGTCATAACTTTGTTATGTAAGGCACAATGTAGATAAAGTTATTTCAAAAAGCACTTACTGTGTATCAAAGGACAAAATGACAATATATGCCACAAAATGTTAGCAGAAAAGGAAAAAAAAATCAAATAACAAGGTTTTACATAATTCATTTAACTGAAGCTTCACTGGGAAAGGGATTAGGCTGGGGGTGTAGTTGTGTATGTGTGTGTGTGTAGTGTTCACGTAGTATGTGCATGGCCCAGAGATCAGGGTGTTGAAAGAGACAGTCTAAGGCTCCTTACAGCTTCCAAATCCAAGACACCAGTAAAAGCAAGGGTTGGGAGGGAAGCTTACATCACCATCTTGAAATAGACCTCAGAGGAGGAGTGGAGGAAGAGGGACCTCCGGGCAGTAAGAGCAGTAGCTGGAGCTTGCCAGGCACCTCCAAGGTGGAAGTCACATGCTATTCTTGTTCACCCTACAAGAACATGACTTGAACTCTGAGTCAGGGTCAACACATAACTTGTTATTCTGTGAAAACAGACACTGACTGAATCTTAAAAGTCTGGCTCAAGATGATCTGTCCAAATAGCTGAATGTCCTCTTTGCTCAGAGTATCTACATTTTTAACTGGCTGGGGCAACTTCTTTTTCCTGCCCAGGCATAGTCAAAAGACACACTGGTATTTTTCTTCTGAAACAAGAATTGTGGAAGCCAACCTACCACTGTTTTCAACTTAGAAGACCAGAAGGGAAGCTGAATTCAAGTGGCACTCAGCAATACTATTTAAGCCCCTCTCCACTCCCACCCAGCAACCACTGGAAAGATGAAAAGCAGCCTCCTTTTATGTTTCAGTTGCTAACTCTCAACTTCTCCAAAGGTTTGTGAAGTCCTGGCAAGAAGTCAGAAATTCCAACACTAAAATGAATTTTCTGACTCAATATTGAAAATAAATTCTTAAGTTTAGATGCTTAGGAGAAAAACAGCTGGAGAATTCAGGAGCCTCCCATAGTTTAATACAAAGTGATGTCATTACCAACCAGGCTTCCAAGAACTCCCTAAACTGTGTGGTTAAGCAACTTCCCAAAGCTCAGTGAGGAGGGTAAGTAGGTGCAGCACACCCATGGTACATGAATTGGGATCGAGGGTAAGAGCTGATTCGATTTCTTCCTTATGTCAGAAAGTAGCCGGATGCTACACACTAGCATCAGTCTGCACCCTTTCACAGGAGGCTGGGGATTGTCTTTCTTAACACTTTGAATCAGAACTGATTTTATGTCTAAAGAAGATCTGCTGTTGTTCTGTGGTACACACTGAACTGAAGGCTGTGCAGTTTCTTTAAAAAAAAAACAAAACTTGGGTATATTTAAAATTTTGTAAGTTAGCAAAATGATTATGCAGAATAGTCAAGGTGAACCTTGAGGGACCTTGGTGAAGGTGAAAGTTTATAGTTAGGAAATCTTGCATCACCTCAAAGGTTATTGAGGGGGAAAAAAATCAGTGTCTGGTTAATATTAATCTTCCAATGGATGTGTATGTTTTCTAAGGCTGACAAGTCAACTGAAATCAACTGGAATTTCTGTGGCAGATCATCCACAGAGCTTTCAAACATGGAAGTTATGCTCCACCGGCAGTTTGTTTTTTATTTCAAAATGCTGACCCTGTTTTTATTTGTTTGTTTTGGACACAGGGTCTTGCTATGTAGCGCTAGATGGCCTTACTATGTTATTAGACCAGGCTAACCTTGAACTCATAGAGATCCATCTACCTCTGTCTCCTGAGTGCTGAGGTTAAAGGTGTTTGCTGCCATGCCTGGCCTGGGGACTTTTTTTTTTTACTCAGAATTATAAACACTTAGGATTCTTGATAAATTAACCGCCAAGTCCATTCAGTTGGCCTTTACTCACCCATGTCAGTGCTGTGACACTTGATGCCTGTTCCTGCAGCAGCAAAAGGCTTGTCTGTTTGGCACACTTACTGTATACCTATGTACATGTACATGTGTGTGCTCACAGGGGGATCTCCTTACTCATTTAAAATGCAACGTTGAGTTCAACTTACTCACATGTTCATCTCTAGATGCTTAGAAATAAATGATATAAAGCTCATGTTTCCAAATAAAACATTAGAATAAGCTTCATCTAGGCCCCAAGAAGAGCCCTATACTAGACAAGCACTATTTGGACACTGAGGAAGCCAGATTAAGTTTTTAATCAGTTTCTTAAAGATTAACGATGTTTAATGTGACCTATTTAGGAGAAACAGTTCTTTGTTGAGTCCCACTAGAAGACATCTCTGCCTATGGAGGTAAAATCCTGTCTCATTATCCTTTCTTCCTTTTCCCCTTAGAGCAAGGATATGACCCAGGGCCTTGCACATGCTCCATTAGCACTCTACCAATGAGCTACCCTCAGTTCTCCTTACCTCTCTCTTACTGGGTTATTTCTGGCTACATAAGGAAAATACAAAGAAAAATATGTGTAAGATGAATCAACATGGCATGCGTGGAATTAGAGGGAGAAGTGTTGCATCTACCCTTATTGACAATTCAGCTAAAAAGTTCAGGTTACAGTGTCCCTCTGGGAACAGAAGACCCCTCCATGTCTCTGAATGCTGCAGGATTGTTTGAATCCCTGGCACACCAGGTCTCATGCATCCCCTATCCCTCTCTGTGGTCCTTTCAAGATGACTGTTCATTTGAGAGGCACCAGATAAACTGACAGTCCTGAGATGTCCACCATCTGAACGATGTGCATGGCCAATGTATGTTAAGTAGCTGCCAGGGTGGCCTGACCACTCCCAATGAACCACAGATGCTGAGCTCAGAATTTCTGGCACTTTCTAACATGTGGCTGAGCAGTAGTTTGGAAGCCTAACCCCTGACTTTACGAATTCATAAGAACCAGGGTTTTATAAACTCAACAGAAAGCTAAATAAACAAAGCCAGGGCTTATAGTCACTCTTGTTATTTTTACAGCAATCTTTCAAAGTAGCTCCCCATTGTCAATTTCTACCTTCTTAAGGCATACTGAAGGGGAGCTGTTCAAAACAGCTAGACACTGGTGGGAACAGCTCATTAGATGTGGAGGAGTCAGAGAGCTTTCATGCTAGCACATGAGTCTCTCTGTCCCAGCCTTCTCATTGAGGAGCCAGGAATAAAAACAACAGCATTTATATTTACCCAGAAGTGTGCATGGCAGTTGACCATCATGGTTCTCTCAATGAGCTCATCAGGGCATTCCAGAAGGTGATGTCCAGAAACCACGCCAGCATTATTGACCAGGACGGAGACCTCACCAACCTCTTTGCGGACCCTTTCAGCTGTCAGGTAGACATTCTCCCTCTTTCCCACGTCACAAGTATAGGTAAAAACCTGCAAGTTACATGGGGGCAGGATTTCTTCCTCACCATTCCCAGCTGTCCTCAGGAGTCCAGATGTGGGGAGAAGGGAAGAGAGAAGGGGTGCAGAAAGTGAGCCACATGGCAGTCAGTAGGACAAAAATCATACAAAGCAAAAACACTACAGTGAGCTTCAAATTTCTAACACAGTAATGCTTGCCAATAACTCAGCTTACAGCTGCCTTTCCCCCACCCCCCCCAACCGAAAGTCTTTGGGAATTACAGCAATTTACTGGACAACCTTGCTTAGGGGAAAGTCATGTAATTGTGGCAAGTCCTATACAAGTAGACCACATGGGATCAACTTGCTGGAGCTAGACACCTGCAAAGAACTGATCTCAGCCCAGAGAATAACACACATTACACATTCCTGTTTTCAGATGGGGGCAGGGAGGAAGCCAGTGGCTAGAGAGCTCTACCCTCAGAACAGAAATTCATTCCAGGGCTCACAAATCCAAATTGCAAGCAACAATCTGAACTCATACAAAGGCAAGAAATGACTGAGAAGTTTCTAATGAAAGCATGGAGGTCACTGGTTTGTCTTTAAACTGATTCCCCTGAGAATTAATCTCATAGATGGAGTTTAGAATATGCAAGCTTACCACATTAGAGTTCAAACAGCATAAAATCAAAATCCCTTTATTAAAAAATGAATTATTGCCTTCTCTTAGGTTTGGGCAGAGAGCACAAATGTTCAAATTTGTTGCCTCTCCACACTAGTTTTGAAAATGCAACATTTTGAACCATACATTAAAAAAAAAAACCAAAAAAAAAAAAAACCACAGGTTCTGGTTAGTTTGGTAACAAATGACAGGCATAGGGGGAGAGTGGAGCCCAAGTCAATCTAGCCACCATCAAATTTCCTAGACCAGTATCTATAGCTGATCATGATCTCAACTTAGGCTTACACTTTCCTTTCAGATACAAACCAGTTGTTAAGCAGATTGGGGTACCCCAAAACCATGAAAGAAATTTACAAAAAGTCTGAAATCATTGAAGCACTTTCTCAATCATTCTCAGTCACTCTGGGTTGGTAACTAAAGCATTCACTTAAGGATGGGGAAACAATGTAATTATTTCCCGGAGCTAAAGTTATAGTGAAACCAACCATACAAT